TAGGGAAGTAACTTTACTTTATAAAATTTATAAAGCAGAGTTACAGCAAACCCCTACCGCCCACTATGAAAGTTGGAATGCCCACTGGTGGGCAGTAGGGACCAGGGTGACTACCATTGTTCTACATGATGTACAAATGTACATTAAACCAACATAATGGAAAGGATTTAAAGAACATTTTACTACATATTGGTTACAATTCATACCACATTTTTGAGCACTTTTTAATTAGCAACCATGCAGGTGTTATAATTGTGGGAGATATACCATTTGAGAAGGATTGTCTTTTTGTACATTATTTAACATTGGAGGCATTTAATGTAAAGGGAGCAAGGAACCTGCCCTTGTTCTCTTTGTTGTTGGTTTGATTTTCTCGAAGTATACTCCAGAAGTATACTCCTAGAAGTGCCATTCATCCCACTTCCTACTTATCCCTATTATAACTTCTTCCTTCTCCTTCTTTGCTCCCATCTTTATCCCAAACTGACAGAAAACAAAATCACATTTTCTTTTCTTATTAACATATTGTCATAAACAGTTTTCATGTTCTTTTGGATTTTGAACATCTTTTTCTAGATCCTTGTAATGGACTTGATTCCACTAACATTTGCATCCAAATTGGATCCTGGTGAATGACTTGAGGGATTCTAACTAAAGTTATTAAAAAAAAAAAACCTCCGCAATATCCTTAGAAAATAGATTTTTCTGGTTAGATATCAGGCTGAGTTACCCTCTCTTCTAGTTTTCTGCTTGTGGGTTTATATATGGATGTAAAATGGCATAGCTGGATAGGTTATGCCTGCATTTGCAGGCCAAGCTTGCTAAGTGAAATGTGAGAATGTTTAGAATGTGACCCAAACTGTCCATTATAGAACTCTGCTCTTGTGAAATCTAATCTTATCCATGCTTGTTCACCAAACAGTTTGTAGAGACTAGCAGCTTTATACTCTATTGTAGCCTTTTCTCAAATCTTCTACCCTGGATGAACTTTTGAAATAATTTTCAGGTGTCAGGGATACTCTGCATAAAATTATATCTTAAGCTAGCTTTGTGTACACACACTCACAATGTCTTGTAGAAATTATCCCATGTAACTCTAATTGAGAAAGGCTGCTCCACTATATGGCCCATCAAACAAAACTAATTACTGCAAAGATCTAAATTTTGGTAGAATTTTCTATTGCATCATACTCAAATTTGTAGACTAAGATAATGCATTTAGTTGAAAGAGAAACAGAAAAAAAATTCTTTTCATCAGAGGATATTGGTCAGAATCCATAAACAGGATTCTTTGAGTGAAAACAGTTTCTGCTTAGCATCAGGATTTGTCTCTGCTATTGGAGCTTCCATCAATCCTTCAAAATCTACTGGAAGATTCCTAAATCTTTGTAGCAGATTTGAAGATGTGCAAAGGACTGGATAGGTAAGAAGGATAATGGAATTTATGATACTTCGAAAAAACCAACAACCTTGTTTAATCCACCAATATGATTACACTAGATGACCTATATCCTGTTTGGTCATAGTCTCAGAAATATTTCCTCTTCTAAACATAGAAACAAAATGACCAACATGTCTATGGAGATTCTCAGTCCTCTAGGTCATGGCTGTCCCAAAGGTGCTTTTTTTCAAGATGCATCTGGACTTTCTGATTTTTCTTTGAAGATGTTTCACTTCTCATACAAGAAGCAAATTGGTGTGAGCCTTCTTGGAACTGTTGAATTGTTTCTAAAACACAGTCTTTTCAACTGTTCCAATTTGCACCACTCAGGTGACTTTCAGGTGACCCAGATAAACCTCCAGGGGACCTTAATGACCCACTAAAAGAATGCAAATGTCCAGCTGCCTGCAAGGAGTATAAATCCTTCTATTCCCCACCATTCAGTCAGAGCTGAAGAAGCTTCTTGGATGAGAGGTGAAACATCTTCAAAGAACAGCCAGAAAGTCTAGTTGCCTCTTGAAAAAAAAAAACACCTTTGGGACAAAATGACCAACAGTTGGCAAAACAAGGATGTGAACCAGGGCAACTTTTGACTTCCCGCCAGTTTTATCATTGAGTTTCCTTGTGGGAATGTGGGAGGAATATTGAAAATGTCCCTTCCCCTCCCCTCTCAATAGGGAGATAAATGGCTAAATGGCTGGGTGGGAGAGGGAAGGAGAGAGGGATTGCAAAACTGGCTGGGACACTGTCATAGAATGTTGAAAATGAAGTTCATGTGACTGCAGTAGCAATCCAGCAGCACTGAAACAGCCACAATTTTTGCAATTTCATTCTCCAGGAATTTGCATGCCTTCTGTAAGTTACCACATTTGAGGTACCTTGGTTTAAAAACTGTTGTTCTGCTAGGTTAAAGATAGTGAAACAAGGCTTTTAGTAGTATCTATATTCACTGGATGGCAAAAAATGAATATAAAATAATTCCTATCTTACTCATTCAAAATAAGGGAACAGAGAGGAGCTGCACTACATATTTCCGGTGAAGGTGTTGAAATTTGAGATGGTACAGGTGGTGTTGGTCCAAAGCAATAATCCTTGTTGGGATCAGCCACTTTCCAACGTGCAGCCATTTGGGTGCAATCTGTTACTTCACCATTTGGTAAGCGACATTCATCTCTTTTATTGTTAGTGCAAGTACCTGGGAAAATAACATGAAAACATATGTAGAGGACAAAACATTTGTGATCTCAGGCCAAATAAGCAGTCAACACATCTTGCAAGTATGGAAGAAGTAAAAATATCAGAATGGCTACATAGTTTAGTGACTCAGGCAGTAGAAGTTGTGGGAGAAAGATCAAGCAGAGGAAGTCCCATGGCAAGCAATACCCTGCATGGGCTGTACCAAAAACAGGTAGGTGAAGTGGCAAATATTGGGAAATCCAGCCAGTGGTGGAAAGAGCTGGACTAAAAGACAGCATTGAAGTAATTATCATAGCAGCACAAGAACAGGCACTAAGCACCAGATATCTATGCAGATTCTCAGTCATCCAGGCCATGGTTGTCCCAAAGGTGCTTTTTCAAGAGGCAACTGGACTTTCTGGTTTTTTTTCTTTAGGACATTTCGCTTCTCATCCAAGAAGCTTCTTGACATAAACACCAATTGCCTCTTAAAAAGCATCTTTGGGACAAGCACCAGATATATAGAAGCAGTGGTCTACCCAGGGGTGAAATTCAGTAGGTTCTGACAGGTTCTGGAGAACTTGTAGCTGACATTTTGAGTAGTTCGGAGAACCAGAAAAAACCACCTCTGACTGACCCCAGAGTGGGGTGGGAATGGAGATTTTGCAATATACTTCCCCCAGGAGTGGGGAGGGAATGGAGATTTTGCAATATCTTCCCCTGTTATGCCCACCAAGCCATGCCCACAGAACTGATAGTAAAAATAAATTGAATTTCACCACTGGGTCTACCTCACTAGGCAGGACTTGAAATATATAGTCTGTGCAGACAGACCTCATTCCAAATCAGAGCGGCAGGGTGTAAGATGAAAGCAGGAACAACATATACTGAATGGCACAAACAAATAGTTGGCACTATATACAGGAACATCTGCATAGTGTATAGTCTAGACAGACTCAGGTTCAGATGGGAGATCCCAGAAGGCTGAGGAGAATAACAGTCTTCTGTTATTAGATCTTATACTAGAGGTGGCTTCCTACCAGTTTAGACTGGTTCAGCCAAGTAGGTAGTAACTCGGCTTGCCACACCCCCAAACTGGTTCTATTGCTGATGCTGCCATCTTGATTTTTGGTTTTGCGCATGCACAGAACAATCTCACAAAAAAATTTGTGCACCAAATTGGCAATAATGCCGGCAGCAACCCACTGCTGTCTTATACACATAGGATCTGTGGGACTTCCATATCCAGGCAAGAGATCTGGGCAATTAATTAGACATCTGGGTAGTAGACCAAAAGACAACATTGGTAATATATGTAGTGGTGGCAAGTGACAACAATATCAGGAAGGAGTATGAGAACCTGGAGAAGTATCAGCACCTGAGGGAGGAACTGAAGTGGATGAGGAAAGGAAAGGCCAAAGTGGTCTTAGTGGTGGTAGGAGGGACACTTGGGGATCTGACTCCTAAGCTTGGGGAGTGTCTCCAACAGATCCCAGGAATTACATCAGAACTCTTTGTTCAGAAGAGGATAGTGCTAAGAACAGCTAAGATCCTGTGCAGTACCTTCAAACTCCCAGGCCTCTAGTAGAGGACCTAATATTGAGGAAGAAACATGCCACCCATAGGGATGAGTGGGATTAGCTTTTTTAACCCCATTGATCCCTTGGATAAAGCAGATAACATGAATCCAATTTTTTTTAGTTCTTTATTCAGTTTCACAATGCTGTTGAAACACTCTCCGGCTTAAGTTTATTTTTTCCCAATAAACAGCATGCACTTTCTTCTGCCAACAGATCACAGCTTAAAAAATAATGGTACCAAAACTTTGAAGCACACTATACCAATGGTGGATTTCTATTTTTTACTACTAGTTTGCGTCTCTTCTGCACATGCACAGGGGCATCTGGGTGGGTGGGTGGAGCCTCCTGCCATCATTACTACCAATCTGGGCCGAACCAGGAGCAACCCACCTCTGCACTATACTTACTAGCAAGAGGAAGGTGTTCTACAGTTGTTTGCAAGAGGTTTTTGAGAGAAAATAGGAAGAGAACTTGCCCTCTTTATCATGTGTTAGAGAAGAAGGCAGCTTTTGTCTAGTTAACTATGACAGGCTGTAGAACTGCTTCCAAAGCTTCTAGACTATTTTATTGAATACTCCTAGAAAAAAATATCATTTCTTTTGAGACAAATGATATATTTTTCCATTTTTATTTACAACAGTAATTAGAAGTTCTAATATCCAGGCTGAATGAAAAATAAGTGACATTTTGGCAAGTGAGTCAAGAGTTTACTAGAGAAACAAGCATTTTTCTAAGAGCAAATATATAAAGTGTTGTTTCAACTACTTTATATGCATTATAGTTTGCAATTATTTCATGGAATAGGATTGACAGGATTAAACCATTTTACTTACCACATTGTCCTTCAGTATTGTTGTAAAATTTGCTGAATGGAAGGTTTATAGCGAAGATTACACCACTATAGGTGACAATAGTATCGATTTCAGAAATTTCAACCACCATATTAATACCAATTGTATAGATATAAATGTCATCTTTCTGGAAACTTGACTTGATGAGTTTCCCATTGAAATAGATCTGCATAGAAGAATAATTTTGCATCAGAGAGTAATTTTATATCAGAATTTTTTTTGATTACCCATACTTTTAAACAAATAATGCACATGCATGTTAAAAATTATTATCTACACATTTTGGATAGTTTGCTTATTCCAATTATTAATTAAGAAATATGTATTTTATTTTCTACCAAATAAAATTACTTGATCTTAGTGTGCATGTAACCATGGAAAATCTTAGGGAGGCTGGTTCCCTCGTCTGAAATGGCTTTCCAAGGATATAAGCAGGGGTGGGCTTCAAAAAGTTTAGTAAGGGGTTTTCTTCCTGGTTGCTGGGTGGGCATGGCCGAGTCGGCCTCCTGCACTATGGCAGTGGGGAGCATTTTTGCCCTCCCTAGGCACTGGAGGCTTTTCTTGAGCCTCTGGGAGGGGAAAAACAGTCTCCCCAGGATCCGAAGGCCCTTCCTGAACTTCCAGTAGGTTTGTTTTTCACTCCCGAGCCTCCGTGTGCACCCTGCACTTACCTGCATCCAAAGTGGGCTGCATGGGGACTCCTGGGAGGGGAGCGGCGGGATAGGAGGGCCAGATAGGAGTGGGATTTGGGGGGTCTCTGAACTGCACAGACTCTTATCTAGAGATTCTCCTGAACCTCTGCGAACCCCCTAGCAGCCCACCCCTGGATATAAGACATACATCTGCTAGGAAAGGCCACATAGATCTAGTCACGCTTATGACATACTAAGAGGTGCTTTTTCCTCTTTTTTCCCCAGGGATCACTGTGAACCTGAACCTGCTTTAAGACTCTGATTGGCCTTAATTTTTTTGTATCTTTGCATCTCTAAGCAAATCAGACCAAACCAAACCAAATAAGTAGTACATAATTCTCATATTTTTATAATATATCATGATTATTATGTATAAGAATGCTTTGTGCTCTTTTATGCAAAACTAACTTTGCATGGCTATATTTCTTAATAAAACCAATAATTAGACATTCCATTTAAGAAATATCAATTCTTTCTTTTACCTCTCTGCTATGTTTCTGGGATTGTTATTTAGACTTAAGATGAATCCATTTATGTAAACATGGTATGTTTCAACCATTACATAAAGTCTGAAATGCTGGGGTGTCTTCCTCCTCCTCCTCCTCCTCCTCCTCCTCCTCCTCCTCCTCTTCCTCCTAGTACTTCTACTACTACTACTACTACTACTACTGCTACTACTATCACCACTACTACCACAGCTGCTGCTGCTGCTGCTGCTGCTGCTACTACTACTACTACTACTACTACTACATCTTCTTTCATGATTCAAAAAATTAACCATATTAGATTCTTCACTGTTCTATAAATTGTTTTCAATTTATAGTGATCTCCATTATGGATGAAAAGTAGCTTTTCTATCCCTTCTCTTTCTGCTCAGATCGTTAGATAAACATACTGTACCTTTAACTTCATTAATTGATGGCTAAAAGTTTAAACAAATCTCACTATCTTCTAGGCATTAATACATGAGAATATAGGTAGTCGTCCACTATGACCACAATTGTGCCCCAAATTTCTGTTTTTAAATGGGACATTCGTTAAGTGAGTTTTGCTCCATTTTACAATCTTTCTTGCTTCAGTTGTTAAGTGAATCATTGCAGTTGATAGTTTGTAACCTGGCTGTTAAATAAATTTGGCTCACCCATTGACTTTGCTCATCAGAAGTTCACAAAAGGTGATCACATGACCTTGGGACACAGCAAAGGTCATAAATATGAATCAGTTGCCAAGCTCTGAATTTTGATCATGTGATCATGGGCATACTGCAAAGGTCATAACTGAAAAACAGTCGTAAGGCACTTTTATCAGTGCTATTGTAACTTTGCACAGTCACTAAATGAACTATTGTAAGTTGAGGACTACCTGTACTGCACTTCCTTATTCAGAAAAAAAAATTTCTGAATAAGCAAGACTAGGGTTGCATCCTAAACATTGTACATTTGAATTGAAACATTTTACATGGGGCTAATCGTGGCTAAAATGTGGGAAGATTTTCATTTTCACAGGAGAAGTTCTCACCCCACTGCAATACCTGACACAGGTTGGGGGCGGGGGTTGTTCTAAAGAATCAAAGAAGTTTGAGGAATGAGTGGAGGTTATTGTTCTGCATGTGAATGGCACTGAATCTCACTTTCAAATTTTACCTTGTTAATGTCTATCCCATTAAACTGCTGGCGAGTTAACACAATGACTGAAGATTTGTAGTATATAATAATAGACTGGTGACAGGAAAGTTGATCTTTTGTGTCACAGTAGTAATTATCAAGAAGGATTTTAAAGTTGTTATATTTTGGTATAATTTCCTGCACCAATACATAAGTACAATTGTCCAAGAAAGTGTAGTAGACTCCATCAAATGTGATAAAGTGAGGATCACCCCAGCCACTACAAATACCTGATAAATAAAAGAAAAAAAGGTGACAATTAGGATCTTAAAAAATATTGTACCTCGAGATTAATATCAACGAAATAACTCATATATTATCAAAAGTGGATTAAAATTCATCATTACCATAAAGCCATTCAGAAATAACATTTGCACTTACATTCACATTCATAGTGATAACAACATCCATCCTGTGAGAGAATCTTTACTGGTAGGTAGCCATTTTCACAAACAATATTCTGTACTGGTGGACACTCCACTTTGCTTATCATAATATTGTTGTTTCCTAAACAAGTTGCTTTGGTGCAATTTTCTATCCATGTCTCACCCTCCTGGGAATAGTAAAAAAAATAGTTTATAGTTTGACCCAATAAAGTTCTGTGTGCATATTCATATATTTCATACATTAAATTATGTTTCATGAGTAGTAAGGAGGGAAGACAACATTTTTCCTCTGTCTAACTGAGATTTGACTTTTGGTCCCTGTTGTGGCCCAGCAGGAGCCGTTGGAGATGCAAACAGACTCCGACAGCGAGGGGCCTTATGAGTCAGCTCTGGAAGAGGTGGAGGACCCTGGACAGGGTTCTGACTCCGAGCAGGGCGCAGAGAGGCTGGTTGGCCACCAGGAGGCACCTGAGGCATGGAGCAGCAGTGAGAGCCGAAGGGAGGGTGCTCATGACGTCAAGCCTTGGAGTAGTGATGAGGAGACAAGGGAGGTGGTCCTGGATGCCAGGCAACGCCGGGCAGATGGACCGAGAAAACAATATGCAGTTACAAAAGATAATTGGACTCAGCTGGTTGTAATTAGGCTCCTCTCAAGATTGTATTTAAGGAGGGACTTGGGCAGGAGTCTGATTTGCAGGATTCAACTTCATTTATAATGCTGGAGAAGCTATTATCTGTCTATGTCGAAGTCTGAGTTGCTGCCAAGGTTCTTATCTGTTTGTTTATGCTTGGGCTTTCAGCTACCGAAGTTTATGTTTCCTGTTAATTAAAGTGCTATGAAATTCCAGTTAAGCTTGTCTCGGCATTTGTTACAGGATAGAGGAGGGGGTCAGAACAGATCCCTATATTTTATAATTTAATTCAGAAAAATCTTGATGTCACGATCCTTCCTTTCCTTCTTTTGCCATAGAGCGCTTTTTAGCAAGGAGACACATCTTGGAGAAACATTTGCCCATCTGATGACATTCTGTTTAAGTAACTACCAGATAGAGATAACTTGACATGATATAGGAGGTTCATTTATAATATCCTACTTCCCATTAAACTTCACTTCTGCATCAGTTCAAAGCATCATTTGTATTTCTCTGAGTTGCATAACCTTTCTGACTTAAGTGGAATGCCTGGAATTTGACATTTGTGAAGTTTTACCTCAGCATCCAAAGTCCACATTTTTTAACATTCCTATCTCCTGATCAGGTTGATAAACATGAAGTAGGAACCAAGCTCACTGGGTAAAGTAAACCCCAAAAGAGGACAAACCTGGTTTTAAGATGATCCCATATCAAAAGGATGGATAGACAGGAGGAAAAAATAGATTAAAAATCCCAGATGATGTCCATCTACACTACTTTTTCAATGTTCTAGCTAAGCTCTGTCCTGATCTCTTTCCCCCCAAGTAAGCATACATTCTTTGCACCCCACCACCATCACCCTAGAAAAGGGGGAGCTAGTGCCAGGATTTTTTTTTTAAAATGAAGTAATAAATACTAATTAAAAGTTATTGCCTGTAAAATACAATTCTGTGTATTGTGCCAAGTCAATCTTGAATCAAAATGGTTTTTAAAATAAGATATATAATATGCAAGCCTAATTGAACCCCATCACTGTACCAGTTGCCAAGTATCCACATTGCAATCACATGACTATAATAATTGCAACTCTGAGGATCAGACATACGTCTCCTTTTCAGTGCTGTTGTAACTCTGAATGGCCTTTAAGTGGTCAGTAAAAAAAGCACTTAATTGCGAAACTATCCAGATATCAAGCATAAATTTCCTTTGTTCCTTGATTTACACTAGTTTTTATAGCACCAAATAAAATGTTTGGTTAGCAATATTGCCCAGATGATGTCACTCCTTAATGCCCTCATTCTCTCACATTGGCTCTTTCCTTAGGATAAGGCATTGCATATCAAATCAGGGTGACCTTCAAGGCTGGTTAGTTCTTTGTTTTGAGAATAAAGGCTTCAGAGCAAGTCTTTGCCCCTGGATAGCTATTGTTTCAGAGAGCCATGCCCATTGCTTTTCTGTTGTAATATAGCAGAAAACAACTAGCAGTCCTAGATCAAGGAAAGTTATTGTGCTGTCCACTGTGCCCTGGTCAGACATCACTTGGTACTCTGTCCAGTTTTGGCACTTCAGTTTAAACGTGATATGACAAATTTGAGTGACTTCAGATAGTGAAGGCTCTGGAAACCAAACCCAATAAGATGTCTAAAAGATAGGGCAGGTTTAATAGAGATTAAAAGCGACATGCGGCAGGAGACTATGTATCTGAAGAGATGGCATAAAGAAAAGGGAGTGAATTCATTTCCTATTGCTCCAGAGCAGGGGTCTCCAACCTTGGCAACTTTAAGTAACTTGTGGACTTCAACTTCCAGACTTCCTCAGCCAGCAAAGCTGGTAGTTGAAGTCTTCTGGTAGTTGAAGTCTTCTGGAAGTTGAAGTCCACAAGTCTTAAAGTTGCCAAGGTTGGAGACCCCTGCTCTAGAGGGCAGGACAATTTTAAATTAATGGGTAAACTACAAGAACGTTCAGGAGACATCAAGAGAAACTTCTTGCTTTCCTGCCTGTGTCACCAAGCAGAAGAGGCTCTCTTGACCTTCTCGGGAAGTTTTCAATTACAGATTGGATGATCAGCTGTCAGATTCACTCTAATGGATCTCACACTAAGCAGGCAATTGAAATAGATGACCTCAACATGTTCTGTTCCAATTCTATGAGTCTATCCCTTTAAGTCTCTTTAAAATGTTTTATATGGTGCATCATGAATGGTATTTGGTAAAAGCTATCCAGGGAGTTTTGGGTATGCTTTAATTCTCCTTCGTTTGGTTTAAAAAACATATTTCCTAGGGGTAATATACTCGATGTCTTCATGATAAAAAGCTAAATTCCATGGCTGTCCCTGTTGTCATTTTGAAAAGATTTACTTCATTGTGTAGAGGTGTCTTTAACCATTCTTCCAATTATATTGCTACATTATAGCATAACTGAACAGATAATTCTATGGTGGTGGTGGTGGTGGGGAAGAATTGGAGAGAAAAAAGGGGAAAAAGACAAATGCTAAGCACATTTTGAGTCAGTATCCTATTTCTTCACCTTCATCCCAATTCACTTTACTTCCACTTATATGTATATATGTATATTCTGCCTGTTATTTTCGTGAAACATATATTTGCAAACAACTATATTTGAATAAAATATATTTTGCTGTACAAGATTCCTTAGTACAGTGTTTTTCAACCACTGTGCCGCGGCACACTAGTGTGCCGTGACATAGTGTAAGGTGTGCCGTGGGAAAATTACTTTATATATAGTCAATATAGGCACAGAGTTAAATTTTTTTAACATTTTCTAATGGTGGTGTGCCTCGTGATTTTTTTCATGAAAAAAGTGTGCCTTTGCACAAAAAAGGTTGAAAAACACTGCCTTAGTATCAGCAAAGTGCTGTACTGTGAGGGAGATAGGTAGTTCTCAAATGTAATAAACACACAAAAGCTGTTCCAGGCAACTTTTTAAAAAATGAGCTATCACTTGCTTTCTGTTCGGAAATTGTAATTTGAATCAGTTCATGCTTGTTTCACCTAATTGCTCATAAAGCCTTGCCTTTATAGCACTGTGAGTCTGAAGGCTGGAGATGTATGAAGGAAAAGAGGGATTCTGGGATTCCAAATCGAGTTAGTGCCATGTGCAACCTAAAACTCCAATAGTCACATTTGGAATAGAGAAAGGTTAACTTCTCCTTCCCTAGCCAAAAATATCCAACCTATCTACGGAAAACACATCACACTGAAAACATGATTATCACAGATTACAAAAAAACAAAAAAAAACCCATTACCTCTCGGGGTGGAACAGCATCAGGACAGCCTGGTGGTGGAGTAGTACCAGCAGTACTGGTAGTAGGAGTGGTGGAGACAATTGTGGGAGTTGAGGTGGGTTTGGGTGTAGTTGATAGACATGGCCCTTTATATCTTTCAACGGAACATGTGCTACCACAAATGGCGAAATAAAGGCAGCCATCGCTGTCGGTTTGCTTATAAATAATTTCACCTGGGGCGGGGGGGAGAAACAACAACATTTCAGTAGGATTTGAGAAAGCTATCAAATAAGTGCATACATAACAAACACAATGATAGAGAAAAGTCTGCCACATGAATAATAAGGAGAAACGCAGAATAGGTATACTGCAGATCCTGTCAGCCAAAGGGTATTGGCTGGTGAAGGCCCCAAAAAGGAGCTTTTCCCACAGTGATCGCTGTTCTATTGCATGGAACATCCTCCCTCCACATATTGAAATGGGCCCAACTCTGTTAGCCTTTTGCAAGACCCTAAAAACCTGTCTTTCTTCCAGTACCTTGGTGCTAAATGTGTCAAAGTCCCAGTTTTGTCACTGTATTAATAACAGGTCATTTAATTACTATAATGCAAGTGGCCTAGACGTAGAGCTCGTGCCTCACAATCAGAAGGCTGTGAGTTCAATCGTAGGTAGAGGCAGATATTTCTCTCGGTGGGCAAAATGAGAATATTTGCTGAACAAAAATCTGGATTGGTGACAGGAAGGGCATCTGAAAATTAAACCACTCTGCAACCTTCATTCAGTTGCGCAGACTTTACCCAACATGGGATTATGGGGTTGTTAAAAGATGATGATTTAATTGCTACTATGTGTATTTAATTTGGATGCCATTAGTATTTTATTAAATTGTTCTTAGTATTTTTAGTGTAATAACATTTCTGAATTGTAAGCTATGCAGAGCAATTTCCCAAGATGGGTGGCTATAAAATTGAATAAGCAAAAATACATAAAATTCAAAAATTGGCTGGCAAAAAAATAACAGTTATTGAAATAAACACTTACCAGGCATATAAATATTTTCCCCAATTTGGCAAAAGCAATGACTTGTGCTGCTGCCTATGGTGGTGGTTGAAGATGTAATACTTGAAGTGGGTTGAGGTATGGTTGTGGTTATCAATTCCTGTGTCATTGTTCCAAAGGCCGTTGTGGTTGAAACTGGGGGGGTTGAGCTGGAAGTGGAGGTGGGTGGTATGGTTGTTGTTATGCATTCGGGGTTTTCTTCACAACAAAGCACGCTTACCCTATAATTAAGGCATAGTTGATATTTTCCAGTTTGGTCCCTATTGTAGCATGTAAATCCAACTGTGACATCACACTTTACGACTTGACCAACTTGTTCAATGGTTAGGTCTGGGTGGTTTTCAGCTTGGCATTTTATATTTATAGGGTTTTCACAGAATTTCCCTCCCGCAGCTCGGATATTGCTGTAAGTTTCAAGGTCTCCTCCTTCGGGTCCAGGAACGGGAAAGTCAGCATCAAACCATTCTGACCATTGGCAGGTGACAGGCGCACATGTGGTCTTTGGTGG